AGAACTTGTAGCATTCCGCCACAATTTAATTCTTCGTATTTTCAGCCGACTCCAGGCAGCTGGTACATAATTGAATAGATTTGTTCAACTGCATCCAGCTGGCGTAGAGATCCCGTGCCGATCAAGTGAGGAGGCAAAATATGAAATCTGTCAACTTCTTGGAATCAAAAAGAGCAGAACAACAGCTGTTGATGGAATGTTGGAAATATACAACGTGATAATCATTGAAAGTACTTCAGTGAAAGAATTATGAATATGGTAACTACAGAGAAAAATTTGCCAACACAAAAATCAACATGCTTAAGAACCCAGGGCTCATGTCGAAACAACTTCCGTAAGGATGACTAAGAATAGAGCCACCAGTGGATTTAATGAAACACCTTCTTAGGGATAATTTCCCCAGTGACAATAAGGGGTAAAAGGCCATCATATCTGTATATCTTTCAGGACAAACAACAACAAACAATCAAAAGAAGAAACAACACCAAAAACACTTGGTGAATGGACAGTTTAGTGTATTAATTTTGTATTAAGATTGAGCGAGAGACTTTACAACCTAGTTAGGAGACTTTGTTGTAGGCTATATTTTTGTTTTATAGACGGAGATAATCATGATAATGATCAAAACTTAGTGTAGTAAGCAGAAAACAAGTAACGGTATAAATGTTAATTAGTGAGTTAGTTAATTAATGAAGTACTCAATGAGTTAGTAAGCAATCAGATAATGAATGATCAAGTTTAGTGTCTGCTAGTCAGTGAGAGGTATGATTCAGTTAGTCAGTAAATTAGTCAGTTGTTATCCGTTGATTAACGAGGAAATTTTGTAAGTTAGGCGCACCTACCATTAGTTTCGGAATTTATTTTAAAACAATGTTTGTGAACTTAGATCTACACGTGAACGAAACCAGCATTGTATCAAATGTTATTGATCATATAAATTAATTCTTATCATTGCATGACAGTATTTGGCATTATTTTTACCAAATAATCCAAAAGAACCTGCCCAACGATAAGACATGTTACAACAATACGAAGCTTTTTTTGTTCATAAAAACTATTTTATAGTTTTTAAGTGTGGATTTATTGAGGATTATAAGAAGGACGTTGAAAGAAATTGAGTAAGAACATTTTCCCTCTATACATCTAGCTTTTTTCAAGTACTTTAGTTGTATCCATAAAATCAAATCTACCTGCCTCATTTGTTATATGTATTAAATTAAGTTTTCATTGGTTTAATATTTGTTTTTATGTATATAAGATATTTTAATTCTTTAATTGGTTTTTACATGAGTTTTTTATTTTTAAGGAATCTTTTTCATTTCATAGCAAGTTTTTTACTGTGAAATTTGTTTTTAAGTATATCATATTAAATATAAGGTTTTCTTAAGTAACGTATTTTATTTGGTGAAGTTTACTAAATTTACTCAGCTTATTGAAGATGAATTAAAGATACAATTAGTACTATTTCCCCATTTCTCTGTACCTTAGAATGTATGTATTCAAAAGTTTTAATTCATCGACAGAAGGAGAATAAGAAATATACTATTTGGTATACGTTACAAGAGAGTTGGTAGATGGTCGAAAGGGCTCTAGTGTTCGTGTATTTTATATTAGTATTTCACTTACATAGGGTAAGCATTTTTTTTTTTTGTAATACGGGATTGTTGAAATTCAAATGGTGTAGCATGACTGGCTGTTTTCGTTTCCCTCTAGCCAACTCTTCCTCTGGAATTTGTTGTTTTTTTATGCCGACAGAAAAAACATGTATTGTATATTTTAAAATTATATATTCTATTGAAGCTAACACGTGGTTAGTTTTCTCATTAAAATGATCATTTTTTCAGAAATATTTATCCATGAAAATTATTAGTGTTTCTTTTTTACTTTAATTTGATGTCGTTCTGCAGACCCCCAAAGGGTCAGCGGTAAGTCTGAAGGCTTATTACGCTAAACTCCGGGTTCGGTGCCCGTGGTGGACACAGCACATGAAGCCCATTATATATATTTGTGCTTAACACAAAGAAGCTTATACGACAGCTGAAACATGAAGGATCTAAATTTTGTGATTTATTTGCATGATAATGTTGATCAGAAAGATGCCAACCTGCATTAAAATCCATCGCTGGTCTCAAAGGAGCTCTATAGTTTCCCCAAACCTCACTATTTGAATCCTAACAAATAATTCTCAGACAGATGCAAAATAAAAAGCTCGAAATCTATTAATTCAGACTAAGTTTCAAACGTAAAACTTACATAAGTGTTTATAACTTAT